ACCACATGTAGTGTAGTCTGTACTCAAAAGTGCGCCAAGACGAATCTTCATCAGTTTATATTGCTGAGTTTTCTGGTTTGTACTGGACTGCCAGCTTCGTCCCTGTCGACAGCCCCCACCAATTAGAGATTGTATTGGCATCTTGCAGATCATTTATGTTGGACCGCCTGTATAATTTTCCGTCTGACTTTACTTGGAACAAAGGACAGTTGTTTTTCTCTTTATCGTCAACAAATGGGATGATGTTAGTAACCTCAGCTGTGTCGATAACTTTTTTTAAGGGTCTCGGTATGCTTCATGCACCTGGTTGACTGATTTCTGAGTTGCCTCGACAAGATATCTGAAGTTGTCTTTGCTTTTATGAAGCAATCCATCACCATAGGCAATCCACTTGTCTCCTCTGATATTTGTTACTCGCAGGCCAAACGTCCCGTCTTCATCGTGCATGCGCCAACTCAGGTAATGGCCATCTATGTGAAGACTGGTAGCGTTTCCTAACTCTACTCTTGGTGTCCTGAGGGGAAAATAATTTTATCCATTTAAAATGATAGATGTGAAGGATGGAAACACGGGTGTCATAAAAGAAAGTTTCCTACTGCAAAAACTTTCCTTGCCATTTTTGGGACAAGGAGACTTGTCATGGACCAATTTGCCACAGTATGATCAACATGAATTGAACTGATAAAAGAGATAGTCCCGCCCCAGGCCCCTACCCCTCTTTCTTTCTCTTTTTGGAAAAGGAAAAACAATAGTAAAATCTATGGCCCTCCTCCGTTTCCTAAGTGTGAAGCTTTTACTTTTTCCTCCCAACGTTACACTATCAAATTTTATAGCAGTAACAAGTTTAGAGAAACATAGGGGACTATCAGTTTTCCGATTTGAAGTGGACGTGATGCCAGTTAATCCATATTCCTTGACTGCCAAACAAATCCAACAGATAAACCGCTTGTTGGAATAAATATCATTATTCCTGGCTGATCTGCGTGTTGACAAAACACTTTGATTCAGGCAAACCTGATTCGTGGTTACGCAGTGTTAGTTAATCAGCCAAAATTTCG